CCCCCCTCCCACAGCCTCCTCCCACCCACAACCCCCTCTCTCACACACACATCAGCGGCATATGCCAGGTTGGCCAACATAAGAACGGCCTTTGGAAACTTGTGTTAGGAATCATTCAGAATCTTGTATACCACTTATGTTAGACCAGTCCAGGAGTATGCAGCTCTAGCATGCAGTCTGTATCTCGTCAAGCACAGGACTAAATTGGAGAAGGTTCAGAGGTATCCCACCAGACTAGTACCCGAGCTGAGGGGTATGAGCTACGAGGAGAGACTACGGGAACCAAACCTCACGTCGCTGGAAGAGAGAAGAGTTAGGGAAGACATGATCACCACATACAAGATTCTCAGAGGAATTGATAGGGTATATATAAAGACAATAAACTGTTTAACACAGGTGGTACGGGAACAAGGAAGATACAGGTGAAAACTGAGTACCCAAATGAGCCACAGGGACGTTAGAAAGAACTTTTTCAGTGTCAGAGTAGTTAACAGATGGAATGCATTAGAGGCAGTGATGTGGTGGAGGCTGACTCCATACACAGAGTCCTATGGAACACCATCTTCCACCTGTCTCCAGCGTGACGTGTCCTCTCTGACTATGACCCTTTGTTTCCTGTCCATCAAGTACTCCCGTACCCAGGTTAGTGTCTTTCCTCTTGGCCATCTTTGTTTCCCCATCTTGTGAATAAGTATTTTGTGAGGATCTGTAACAAAAGGGTTTTGGCAGTCTAGGAAGATGCAGTCTACCTCTCCTTTCTTATTATGTGTGTGTGTACTCACCTAGTTGTGCTTGCGGGGGTTGAGCTCTGGCTCTTTGGTCCCACCTCTCAACTGTCAATCAACAGGTGTACAGGTTCCTGAGCCTATTGGGCTCTATCAAATCTACACTTGAAACTGTGTATGGAGTCAGCCTCCACCACATCACTTCCTAATGCATTCCATTTGTCAACCACTCTGACACTAAAAAAGTTCTTTCTAATATCTCTGTGGCTCATTTGGGCACTCAATTTCCACCTGTGTCCTCTAGTGCGTGTGCCCTTTGTGTTAAATAGCATGTCCTTATCTACCCTATCCGTTTCTCTGAGAATCTTGTATGTGGTGATCATGTCTCCCCTAACTCTTCTGTCTTCTGTCGTGTGTGTATGTGTGTGAGGGAGTGCAGTGAGTGCATGTGTGTATTGAGGCGTGCCACTTGTGTCACAAGGGCTGCACTGTTCTGTATTCCTTCCCTCCGTTCAATGGAGATGAGCAAGAGTTTATGTAGGAGAGCTAGCTCTCTCTCTCTCTCTCTCTCTCTCTCTCTCTCTCTCTCTCTCTCTCTCTCTCTCTCTCTCTCTCTCTCTCTCTCTCTCTCTCTCTCTCTCTCTCTCTCTCTCTCTCTCTCTCTCTCTCTCTCTCTCTCTCTCTCTCTCTCTCTCTCTCTCTCTCTCTCTCTCTCTCTCTCTCTCTCTCTCTCTCTCTCTCTCTCTCTCTCTCTCTCTCTCTCTCTCTCTCTCTCTCTCGCCCTTGCTAAGTCATTTAATAGGAGGAAGTATTTAATGGACAATTTCTGTTTTGTGTTTAAGTATAGGGCAATTTTTTGCCAATTACATTAACGGGGGCAGCGTATAATATTAATTCTCAGAGAGTCGGTGTTTAATCTCACAGCCTGGCACTCTTTAAAGACAGACAGACAGACAGACAGACAGACAGACAGACAGACAGACAGACAGACAGACAGACAGACAGACAGACAGACAGACAGACAGACAGACAGGCAGACAGACAGACAGATTGTTGATTGACAGTCGAGAGGTGGGACCAAAGAGTCAGAGCTCCTTTTTTAAGAAAAAAACCGCTTAGGTTAAGGCTATCAATGAACTTCGGGGAAGGAAAGCGCTCCACCTACACCCCCAACTGCTCAGAGGGGAGAGAGAGAGAGGAGGGGCACCCCACCCTTCAGCGGAGAGGGGGAGAGCCACTAAGAGCAGTTTTACAACCTTATTATGGGCCCCGTGCTCCTGTGAGGGGCGGCGAAAGGGCTTCAAAACTGCTGACAGATGGAGACAGACTCAAGAAACGTCCTTGATGTCGGTGAGATGCAACTGCTGCTGCTGCTGCTACATATCAACGCGACAGAAATTTTATTTCCCCCCTCTTATGGCTCTGTCGGTATTTGCTTTTTTTTTTTGCAATTTTAGCTATTTCTCTCTAACTATAGAGGTGTGAGTATTGGGTACGGGCGCAGACTGGGCCTCAGAAAGCATGCCCAGACATGGGCGAGAGCCAAGTGAGAGAGAGAGAGAGAGGCAACGGGTACACACTCGTAGATCAGCTGTGGATGTCCTTCACCTCGGCTCATTCATCATCCACTTTTAACACCCGCCCTCTGGATGCCTTCACTGACTCACGCAGCGTAAATAAGAACAGCAAACTAAAACGTCGCGATGAAGTAGTAGTTAGGAGATAGATGGAGGGGTGGTGATTATCACTGAAAAATTACGAGTGAATGACGTAGAGGAAAGCAGGTTGGCACGTGGAGTCGACTTACGGAAAGTAGGGAATGCGGTCGAGCTCCAACTAATGAGAGACACACCGAAATAGGAGCTGAACTCGTTTTCTTTAAACAAAATGTTGAGAATCAAAGAAAATTGTAAATTAAAGCAAGGACTACGATATCATGATCTGTAACGTGGAGGGGGAGTAAACAATGTACTTACCTATTTGTACTCACCTATTTGTGCTTGAGGGGGTTGAGCTTTGTCTCTTTGGTCCCGCCTCTCAACTGTCAATCAACTGGTGTACAGATTCCTGAGCCTACTGAGCTCTATCATATTTACATTTGAAACTGTGTATGGAGTCAGCCTCCACCACATCACTTCCTAGTGCATTCCACTTGTTAACTACTCTGACACTGAATTTTTTTTCTAATGTCTCTGTGGCTCATTTGGGTATTAAGTTTCCACCTGTGTCCCCTTGTTCGTGTCCCACCCGTGCTGAAGAGTTTGTCTTTGTCCACCCTGTCAATTCCCTTGAGAATTTTGTAGGTAGTTATTATGTCTCCCCTTACTCTTCTGTTTTCCAGGGACGTGAGGTTCTTCAGCCTTTCCTCGTAGCTCATACCTCTCAGTTCCGGGACAAGTCTGGTAGCATACCGCTGAATCTTCTCTAGCTTTGTCTTGTGTTTAACTAGATATGGACTCCAGGCTGGAGCTGCATATTCCAGGATTGGTCTGATATAAGTGGTATACAGGGTCCTGAACGATTCCTTACACAAGTTTCTAAAGGCAGTTCTTATGTTGGCCAACCTAGCATATGCTGCTGATGATATCCTTTTGATGTGGGCCTCTGGGGACAGGTTCGGTGTGATATCGACCCCCAGATATTTCTCTCTATTTGACTCTTGCAGGATTTCACCTCCCAGAAGGTACCTTGTATTTATCTTTCTGCTCCCTTCACCTAATTTCATTACTTTACACTTTCCTGAGTTGAACTTTAGTAGCCATTTTCTAGACCATTCCTCCAGTTTTGGAAACATGTGGAGGACGTAGCAAGCTGTTGAAGCTGGTGTAAATCAATGGACCACAGAGAATAACATGATGTTTAATGAGGATAAGTTCCAGTTCCTGCGCTATGGAAAAAGTGAAAATCTCCCCACGGAAACCACAAATAAAACACAGTTAAATCTCACTATAAAACGAAAAAGAAATGTACAAATATTTGGTAGTAATCGGAAGACTTTACTTTTAAAGAACACAGTAAAGTAGTTGTTGTCACAGTCGGAAGAAAAAATGACAGGGTGGGTAAGAAGAGACCGGGCCGCGAGGATGTTGATCCTCGGAACTAACGTCATGAGGTAACAAAGTACCCCACAAGACAGGTCCTCTCTCTCTCTCTCTCTCTCTCTCTCTCTCTCTCTCTCTCTCTCTCTCTCTCTCTCTCTCTCTCTCTCTCTCTCTCTCTCTCTCTCTCTCTCTCTCTCTCTCTCTCTCTCTCTCTCTCTCTCTCTCTCTCTCCCATGACATTTCCGCCTTCTCTGTCTCTCATACGTCAAACCTTCCTCCCCATATCTCTCATGACACCCCCCCCGTTATCCCCTCCCCCTCCCACCTCCCGTATGACACCGTTCCTCTCCCGCCACGACACGACACCTCATCCTCCACTCTCCCACATGACAGTCCTCTCCTAGCCACGGCACGCACTCCTCCCATCTTCTCCCCCCTCCCACTTTCCTCCATCATCTCCTCCTTTTCCCTCCTCCTCCTCCTTCTCCTCCTCCTCCCACTCCTCCTACCTCCTCCCCCTCCTCCTCCTCACCTCTCCGCTTTCAGCTTCTTCCTGTTAGTGTCGGAAAAAATAGCTGGTCAAGGAAACACGGAAGTAATCCCCTTGCGCGCACCAGCCCGCGCCCACACACACAAATATGGGACACAGGGGACACAGGTGACGCAGGTGACACAGGGGACACAGGTGACACAGGGGACACAGATGACACAGGTGACACAGGTGGAGACTGAGTACCCACATGAGCCACAGGGACGTTCGAAAGAACTTTTTTCAGTGTCAGAGTAGTTAACGGAATGGAATGCATTAGGCAGTGATGTGGTGGAGGCTGGCTCCATACACAGTTTTAAATGTAGATATGATAGAGCCCAGTAGGCTCAGGAATCTGTACACCAGTTGATTGACGGTTGAGAGGCGGGACCAAAGAGCCAAAGCTCACCCCCCCCCCCACCCGGCAAGCACAACTAGGTGAGTACACACACACACACACACACACACACGCACAAAGGGAGATGCTGGAATGAAAGAGGAAGTCCCATCGTCAAGGATGTTCGACCTGGCCGGCCGTTTGTTGAGGGTGGAATGGTGTGTGTGTGTGTGTGTGTGTGGGGGGGGGGGGGGGGTTATGGAGGTGTGGGTGTTGGACAAGGGAGGTAGGGGGGGAGGGAGGCAGTGCGCTGAGATGAGCTCGCTCGGAGTGTGGACCGAAGTCCACACTCCGAGCGCGCCTCCGGAAGAGGTAGTGTGTGTGTGTGTGTGTGTGTGGAATGTAAGTGTTTTATGTTGCAGTGAAAAGTGCAGCCACAGTGATTAATTAAGTGTTAATGGCCCTGAAGTCCATCATCCAAGTATTCAATTTAAGTCTTGAGTCTCCATGCCAAGTCTTAATTCAAAGTGTTCTTCGTTTTAGTTTGAAGTCTGAAATGTTTATTTTTTTTCCTTATGTGATGACATGTAACACAATGGCCAATGAAAAAATAAGGTGGAGCTTTATGTGATGGACACAGCCCGGGCCAACAGAAATATATTCGAGTGCAAGAATGATCAAAATAATTCATCAAATGATTAAGTTGTCCAGTAATTAGTGCTGTCACCGAAGCCTGTGGTGACTGTGGTAAATGTGGTGCACTGTGGTACACTCACCAAAGTGTCTGTGGTAAATGTCTTGGGTAATATATTTATATATATATATATAACTAATCATCTGTGGTAAATGTCCTGGGTAATATAACCAATCGTTTGGTGTTGGGCTTAAGGCCTGTTGACATCTGGAGGGTTATTAAGGCCACTACAATACTTTGCTGACCAACCGGCAAGTATACTGTAGTCTGGGACTAAAAGTATGCTCCCGGTGTATATATATACACCGAGAAGTGGGAGGTTATACCTCTTCCTGTTTTCTTTTGGCTGATCTGAATTCCTGGTTCACTGAATGTAATGCCAATCAGTATATTCATACTCTATGTGATTCCTAGTGAATTCTTCCTGTTTCCAGGGCTTGCACTGGAAACACACTCACCCCAACACACTCATCTGAACACTCACCCCAACACACTCATCTGAACACTCACCCCAACACACTCATCTGAACACTCACCCCAACACACTCATCTGAACACTCACCCCAACACACTCATCTGAACACTCACCCCAGCACACTCATCTGAACACTCACCCCAGCACACTCATCTGAACACTCACCCCAACACACTCATCTGAACACTCACCCCAACATACTCATCTGAACACTCACCACAACACTCCCATCTGAAAATAAAGACAGTGACGACGTTTCGATCCGTCCTGGACTTGATAGTGGTCCAGGACGGACCGAAACGTCGTCAATTCCTATTTTTTGTTTCAAATGTGCTGTGTGGATGTCCATTTTTTACCCCCGTTATTGAAACTTACTATTTGCCCTTAGTTGTTAGTTAAGAGCTTTATATACACCTTTGTCATCTATCTTGATTTCATTTGTTTCTTTTTCCTTCTTGGCACGTAATATATATATATTTTTTGTAACAAGTTCCGTGATGTTCCTGGCGACATTTTCTCATTACGCTTCCATGTTTTGATCAATTAACTCCTTCCAGGAGGTATTTTGCAATTCCTCTCTCATTCTATTACAGTCTCCTCGAAGGTAGTCGACTAGGAAGTCATCGTCCTGGACGATATGGGTTTCTGTGATTGCATTCCATCTTCAGATGATGTGGTCACATGAAGGGGCAAGCTTCGCCCCTATCTAGGATTTGATCGATCGTTCCCTTTTCTGATGTTAGCACAAGATGTAGATCGGTGCTTCCTGGAGTGTGCGGGCTCTTGTCACATGCTGTGTGAGAAAGTTGTCTGGTACTAGCTCCAGAAATTGTTCCTCTTGAAATTGGGATGTTAGATTCACCCCAATCTATTGTCTCGTGGTTAAACTCCTTCATTATACGAGTTAGGTCTTCAGCAGCAGCGTTTATCGCATTATATTTAGCAGATAGGTAACTTCCTCTGCTGTTGTTGTGTAGCATATTCCCACTGTCGCTTTTCTATCATTTTGAGCTACAATATTGCACCACATAGATTTAGAGAGTCTCATGGTGTTTAATTTATCAATGCTGGCTGCAGTTAAGTTCCTTTTTATATAGATATAGTACCACTCCATCTTCTCTTGTTGTTCTGTCCTTGCTGAAATGTGCATGATATCCTGGAAGATGGAATTTTCACCCTGCAATTATGTCTTCTTGCAACCTCATGTTTCGCTGAGCCAAATGATGTCAGGATTCCCAGCCTCCATACATGCACACAGTAGCGTCAGAGATATTGACTAGGCTTTTTGCATTTGTGTAGAAGCCATTTAAACTCATGGCATTGTTGCTAGTGGACCGATAGACCGCTGCTGCAGTCTGCACACTATTGTCCTGTACACTGTCCCTTTGGTTTTGTGTCTGCTTGTCGATGGAGATGAATAGGGTTAGGTTCACCTTATTGAATGAAGGACTTCGTCCTCTCCTCCATCTACTATCCGGATGACTTGCCTTCTCTTTCTCTTTAATTGTGAGACTTTTATTTTGATCTATGTTTCTTAACTCCTTTAGTTAGCTTGTCTCTCAGTTCTTTGTGATTTTCTTGTTCTACTGTGATATCTGGGAATGTGTAAATGTTATCATACCCGTCCAGACCTATCAGGTTGTGTGCGTTCTTGGGTATCTTCTGTGCCTAAGACTTGTGATTAGTTATCCCTACCAAGTTTGTCTCTGGCTCGCCTCACCTCCCTACCTCAGAGCTTCCACTTCCCTTATCGATTATTCTATCATTTCCTCGATGTTTTGCTAATGAGACTTACCCTCTTGCTTTGCCAGCTATCTTATAATATTATTTTTTTCTAGTGTCTATCTCCCTCGAAAGATTCGGAATCCCTTTCCTAAACTCAGCCTACATTTCTTGTCTTTCCTCCCTATTCAGGTTTCATTTTCACCACCCCGAGTGACTGCTTCACACTGTGGGATACAAAACTTCGCCCTCAAGTGACACATTTGGGCTCAAAGTGCAGGGTTGAGAAGTACTGAAGTTGCTTGGAGTTGCCATCATTCTCCAGCACGATGCGTCTAGGCAACACCCTGGTGAGTGGCTTATACCATTACTGACTTGTTTTGTATTTAGTAAAATTCACAATCCCTTGTATACATGGCAGTGGAGTCACATATACACTTACCTAATAGAATTTGCAGGGCCGACCTTCAGCTCTTTCGCCCCGCCTCAACAATTGCCACTCGTCTAAGGCAACCACCTAGACCCATGTGTTTCGGGTCATTTTTACTATTTAAATCTATAGCTGAAGTTAGTTTAAAATATTTCTCCCTGTGCGTCCAGATTTCCCCTGTGGCTCGTGTGTCACACTCCTGCATCTCTCGTCGCTATTGAACATAAGCATTCTGTTCATGTTAATTTTAAAGGTATCTCTTAGTATCTTGTACGTCTGAATCATGCCTTCTATAGAACTCCTTTTTTGAAGCGACGTGCTGTTCTGCTGTCTTCGTAGCTCATCCCTCAGGTCTGCACACTCAGGTACTAAACGAACGTAGGCAGTTAAGTTCAGTTTATTCATTTATTATGCACCCCATACCCATCCCGATGGCAATGGTGGAAAGGGTTACAGAGGCAATGCATATATCCTAATTTTTTTAGCATTCTCTTATGTAATGATGCAAAGTATGTGAATAGTCCTGCTGACAGAGTTTACATTTACCAAAATCTATATCAGGACGATATAGATAATGGTCCAGGACGGACCGAAACATCCTGGACCATCTTCTGAGCTGTTGTTTAGTCTGGTCACCAAATCTAGTGATGTGACCAAATCTGGCCACATCAGCAGATATTGCAAACTGCCAGAGGTAACTGTAGCCGAGCCTAAGCCTAGCAGTGGTATCATCTAGAAGTCTGCTAACCTTACTGGATGACCCATAGACGTGCGGTTCTTCCTGCATAATAGAATGACGATGGATGGAGTAACTGGTGTAAATTTCATTTTGCCTGAAGTCTACTATTTTGCGTTGTTTTTCTCGGAATGTTGCTGCCCTCAGGCTCCTAAAAGGCAATCCAAGATGGTAATCTTGGATTACCATCCAAGATTTCAGAAAGCTTGCGTGCCTTCATCCCTGGATGTTATCTTGATAATCTCCAGCTTAGCATATGTGATACACTTTGTGTTGTCCCCCAGTGATACTGATAGCTTCGGGGTTATAACTTTTCCGTACAAACCTATAGTCTGTGGGGATATAAGTGTTCAAATGAAATCAAACATCTATCGGTAGATGATCCATTTATCTGTAGATGGTCAATTTATCTATTGATTATGCATCTATCTGTAAGACATATCTATTCAATCTGAGCTGATCTTCTTCATCGGCTCTGGAGGCCTCGTCAGTCTCACAGAGAAGTATAGTGACGTTTTGTTTGTCTCCTCAGTTATGTTATTTGCATATTGTTCGACTCTGATGGGTGGCCGCCAGGCCTGGTGGGTGCTGGGCTCCGCTTGACTACCTCCTTCATAACACTGTCTCTTCTCTTACTCTAAATGATTTCATCTCATGAAGTAATATTTATTTATTTCTTGTAACTCAACCGGTTATTCTATCTAGTTCTCTGTAACTTCCACAGCAGCAAGTACAGCGTTCTATGTACAGTTCACTGCTTATATTCCTCGCTGTTTTTATTAACGTTTTTTTATTTGGCGTCTGTTCGGCGCCCGGTACATTGTGTCCGGCGCCCGGTACACCTGACAGATGCACAACTAAGCGTATGGTTACAGGTGTTGGTGATGGTGTGGGCGGCAGCTTCGCCGAGTTCGCAGATGTCCGTAAGGAGACAGCTGCCCCAGCTGCCAGACGGAGACGTCCCTCAACCCTCCACTCTTCCTAAGGGCCCTCCACCCTCCATCAGCCTCCTCCACGAAGGTGCTACTACAGGTAGATATAACGTAGCCTCCAAATATGACGGATGGAATGAGCAAAATACTGAATATTACGCTTCACTCTTGTTATCTATTTCCTCTTGTTCTAGTCTACTCTATGTACTTTTGTCTGTTTATGTATCTCTTTCTCTGTGTGTGCCTCTATCTCTCTTTTACTGTCTATCTCCGCCTGTCTCTCTCTGTCTACAACAGTTACAGCATCGCCAGTCACGGAACTAACAGTGGAATTGATCAACCTTTGCTGTGGTCCAATAATGTATCATTATATTCAAATTCAAATAATTGTATTACAAAATTTGATTTAAGTCATTACTCCAAAAATTGCGTTCAGATTTGTAGTTTCATTGAAAGATTTCAAGTGTCTTGGATAATAATATGAACTCATTGTGTCGGGGGGACAGGAAGCCAGAGTGTATTCATAGACGTTAGGCTTATATCGAAAGTTGGTTGGTTAGTTAAGTTGGTTGGTTAGGAAGTATACTTGCTGGACCGTTAGAAAGCTATCGTGGTGATCTTGATATACTTCCCGTGTGGTTGATTGACTATAAGCTTCAACACAAGATCAATTCAACCTAACTTTGTTTAACATACTCAAAGTTCACCAACCTAATTAAACCTGACTTTAATTACACAGCCAAACCTAACCCACCCTTACCTAACCTGCCATACGCTAAGTTAACTTCACATTTCTCAATGGCCCCGAAAACCAGCACAAACATTTAGACAAAAAACTATAAAAACCGCCTGTAAAAAAAAATTCTTCCCGAAAATAGTTTTGTTCATATAGAATAATGTACATAAGTGGTTTTTATAATGTTATCAGAACATAACAGGTCATACCTGCATGTTGTTATTAAAGTGAGCTGTCCTCATTCGTGTTCCTTTCTACCCTGTAGAAGGCACAGACGGAGAAATCCTCGCAGCAACCTCCAATGTATCCCTCTCAGACGCCGGGATAGATCATGTCTCCGATCTCAGCTCACCTGAACCCCCGCAGCAGCCGGTAAGTGAGTCCTAGCTCATCCTAGTCTCTAACAGCACGTCGTGTCTGTCCTAGCAGTATATGCTAAGACTCTAGGTACTCGCAGGGAATTGAGCTAACACGGCTACCCCCCTTAGTTCACGCCCCAGGTACAGATATCAACATGTTTGTAACCTGTAAATCAAGCAAAATGAGTCTCTATGAAACAGAAAATGGCATCCCCCTAGAAACCATGTACCATTGTAACCATATCCTATTGCAACCATTTCCCAATCAGCAATATTCCTCAGCAAACATGCTTCACGATAACCATTCCCTCGACAGTGATGTTCTTCCAGCAACCATATGTCCCCCAAACAACCAACCATATCTCCAAGCAATCATTTACCCATGCAAGCATGTTTCCCCCCCCCAAAAAAAAAAAATATAACCTAGCAATCATGGCCTCAAGGAACTATGAATCCCAGCAACCATGTCCTAAAGCAACCGTGTGTCCTAGCAACTATGTCCCCAAGTAACCTTAAACCCCAGCAACCATGTCCTATCAAGAACCATAACACTCTTGTAACCATGTCTAAAATACCATTCTTCCATTTCCTTTTAATTCGCAAGATAATCGCAATCTTTATATATATATATCTTTCAGATGACTTCAAGTGACATCCTCCAGGTGGACGCTGGAGGTGTGGAGCCTGATGTCCAAGTCCCTTCAGGTTCGCCGGGTCATGGCCTTCATGTGACGTCAGGTGACCCCGGGGTCGACTTCCTGTTGGCCACCTTAGGCGATTCCGTTAACGGCGATCAGAGGAGTGTGATGGCCCTGTTGCAGTCGTTAAGTAAGGATTCAGTGTGTTTTAGTATATATTCACTAAACAGATTCTCATTGAACGGGCGTATATAGGACAGGAATATTCACACAGGGAATATGCTCCAGACTCACCTTCAAAGCAGCTATTGTATAAAAAACAATACGGGAGAGTCCTCCGGCATTCAAAACATTCTTCGAGTTCCAGGTACAACCCGTAGGAGCTCGAAGATGGATAAATTTCCAATAGCCTTTATACACCCGATTGAAGTACTCAAGTACTCAGCAGGCTGAAGTGTCTGAGGGAGGCCTGGTAAGCCTCTCTCTCTCTCGTCTTAATTAAGATCTTTATGCCAAATTTAATCCAATATTTATACAAAACACTAGAGACAAATCGAATTCAAAAAAAGGAATCGCAGGCTCGATGTCACATTTAATTAATAAGTTTCCTAGTGTTTATAGAGCTTTCACTCTGCAAATCAATATATATTTGTCCACAGGCGTCTTCATACAAGCTTATAGACATTTTCGTTTTTTTCTGTTTACATAATCAAAGACAAAAAAATCATCCACCTGCATTTTAGAAATTTAAAACGTTTACAAAAACTTTTTTTTTCGTAAATCTGCAAACAGGTGTCATCAGGTCACGTAAATAGAAGTAATTTACACTTACATAACTCTGTTTTTGTTAAACTGTAAAAATGCGACCCCTTATGCGATGTAAACAGCCAAGTGGTTCTCCCGGCACAGTGGTGGACGGGGAGGAGGACACCAGGGCCATGGACATGGTCCGCAAAACTCACGGAGGCCGGAAGAAAGTCGGGCCACAGGGCCACCCTGAGGGCCAGCAGCTACAGGCCCACACGGGTGAGGAACGCCTCGGCGAGGGCCACTCGGAGGACCTGGACCAGCTGGGCGAGGCGGGGCAGGAGTCGCTGCAGCAGCAGATGGCTGAGTTTACCCTGGAGCCGCACTTAGGCCCGGCGATCCTGCCCTTCGAGGTGAGCAGTGGGGTTTATATATTTTTCGTGTCGTTTATTTTATTAATCTTGCAATTGTTTCGTATTATAGTTGAAGTTGTTCGGAGTTTTCTGGGCTGCCTTGTTCCTATTCTTATTTTGTTTAGTAACTTATATCCACCTATTCTCCTGTCTTTCTACTTTCTCAGGTTCCCGACGGCTACTTCGTGCCCTTCCTGCCCCGTCGTGCCTTCGGCGTGATTAACGGGGCATCGCGACCCGCTCATGGTCATGGGTCTTTCTACATTCACCGACCCCCTGGGCTCGTTGATGTCCCCAACTCCCCCGCCTACGGGTTCCTCTTCAGCGGCTACAGGAGGTTCGATCCTGAGGCTCTACAGGTCCCGAAGGAGTGAAAGAAAAGTCATCCTCCTCATTGCAGAAGTTTCCAGCTCCTTAATTTCCTCTCTTTCCCATCGCCAGTAATCTGCGACAAGTTCGACGAGATCGTCTTAATTTGCACATTGGATTTCCACGGCTTTTCTCCCCGCGTTTGTATTATAGTCTCCCCTGATCCCACTCGTCTCTCGTAGATCACGTTTTCTATGAACACTTGATATTTTTTTTAAGATTTTTGACTGCATTATTTGTGATCGTAATTGAAATGCTCCAGACTCACCTTCAAAGCAGCTATTGTATTAAAAAAAATACGGGAAAGTCCTCCGGCATTCAAGTCCTCCCTTCACCCTTATACAAGTTGATTTCTCTAACTTGCATTTGTTCTCCAGTGTTCAGTCATTATATTTTTAAAGTTGCATTTCCTTGCTTGTCTTCCACAGTTCACAGATTTCACATTTGAATAACAAAATATCTTGCTTATTTCCAAGCCCGTCCTCAGACCAAAGCCATTACCACGAGAAAACACTCCATTCCCTCAAACCACCTGCTTAGTTATGTAGATATGTGTGATGGTCTGAAAGTTTATTACTGTTCCAATAATAGCCTACTTGTAAATTGGCAAGTGAATCCTTAACAGAGATTATTCTCAAGTTATAACGTTTTTGTATTACAAATCGTTGGTTTGAAAAATAAAAAGGATATGCTGAAAATACTTTTTTTTTGAAGAATTTGGTTTTCTGTACACGGAATTCTCGGATTCACTCAAATAGTTTTCGAATTTCATATTTCACATTATTGTCAATAATACACTGTAATTTCATAACCCAGTGTACGTTATGTTTTCTTTTAAATGAGCGATATAATAGTTCGTTTAGTTGCGGGACAGGCAACCTGCGTAGGTATGTGCGTTAGGCTTATATCGAGGTCCGCCCCCCCTCCCCAAAGGTTGAACTACTGACCCCCTCCCCAGCAGTCGACTAACTCAAATGTACCTATTTACTGCTAGCTGAACTGGGCATAAGGAAACGTGCCCAGCCATTTCTGCAGCCCGTCATACCTAAGGTTTACCAACGTCAAGAAAACAATCAATGTAATGTACCCTTATCCTAACCTACCAGAGGACCCACAAAAGATAACGGGACAGTAAGTCACTTTCGCCATCCGCTTCCATTTTGTAGTACGGCAATGTTTGGCCTTAGGTAACGCATACGAGCGAAAAGCGACGTTCTTTGTAGGAAAACATTTTGATATCTTTCTCATCCGAGATTCGAACCCGGGATTCCCTATGGTGAGCATTACTTCCTCCATGAATCATACTTATTTCCCTTAAACGACCCGTCTTCACATTGAAACAAAAAAAATCACGCAAAATTTTCGCTAGGAAATTTCTCCATCAGTTTTGGATCATTATCCCTTTTTTAAAACAACGTCTCTTAACTACCCCAGCTGAACGTTTTCTATCTTCAAACATATGTTTACAATCTCAATCAGCAAAACGTTTTCTTTAACAAATAGATCGTTTTATGTCCCCATTCGCTTATTGTTGTTTCTTCTTTCCATAAATTTTCCCACACCACTCGCGGCATTAACAAAATATTTGTAAAAAAATGTTAAATGCAATAAAATATTTTTCCAGTCTGTACCTGTTGATATACCTCTTCCCTTGAGAGAGAGAGAGAGAGAGAGAGAGAGAGAGAGAGAGAGAGAGAGAGAGAGAGAGAGAGAGAGAGAGAGAGAGAGAGATGGTCTCCTGTTGTGGTCTCCATTATGGCGGCAAACCACGTGTGAGATGGAATAGGTACAAGTGCTAGAGGCTCACCTTGAGCTGCACTCTTCTGGGATCGAGACAGAAGCAAGTCTTGGTAGACGTGGCAAGGGATGAGGTAGGTGGGTCTTCGTATTCCCGCCAAGATGTCGACAGGAGTCCAAAATTCAGCGGGTGGCGTCTAGTCAGCGAGGTGTGGGTGTCTTCTCTGGCCGAGGCGTGCGCGGCTACCCCTCCGTCTCAACCCACCTCCGCGCATGGCTGCCATCCACCAATCAGGAAGAACCCCACGTCTATGGGTCATCCAATATGGTTAGCAGGTTTCTAGATGTCACCACTGCTAACCTTTGGCTCGGCTACAAGTACCTCTGGGAGTTTGTAACATCTGCTGAGGCAGACTTGACTAAATGTAAACTCTGTCAGCAGAACTATTCGCATACTTTGTGTCATTATATAATGGAATGTGAAAAAAATCGCAGAATTTAGATATAACACCATCAATGGTGTCCAAGAAATGTGTAAGTACTTCATTTATAATGAAGTATTTAGCGAAGTACTCGAAATCTTAGCGAAGTATCCAAAATTTGCTGACTGTAGGTAATGCATGCACATGACTGTAAAGCTGCCGCCCAGTTGGGTGGGTGTGGAGCAAGACTAGTAACTGTGTGACTCACCATAGATGTAAAGTGCCTTGTATAGTGACTGTTATGAGCCTCTTGCTGAATCACTTGTGATATTAAAAGGTTATCGATGTATATATGTATTTGTGTAAATGATTGTATATATATATGTACATGTATGTATAACATTATTAATTGTATAACAAGCTTCAAAAGATTGTCACTTGCTTAGCTAAACGAACTCTGGGGTTCAGTTCCTGAACCCATTATGTGCCTCTGTAACCCTTTCCACCACCGCCCACGGGATGGGTATGGGGTGCACCATAAAGAAAGAATCTGATTCTGGCGGGCACTTTGAGTGTGGCTCCCTCCACATAATAACTATTTGTTCGAATGTACATAAAAGGAACTGCTGCAGCCACCAATGTTTACGGTTTGTACTATTACTTGTGTAGATCGAGTACATGATAAAAATACCATGTATGGTAATACCATCTATGGTAGATGGTAACACAATCAATGGTATATAAGAGGGCTGCCCCTGCTATTGCACTACCCATAGCTCTGCTATTCGACAAATCTCTGGAGTGTCATTCTTTTCCTGATATCCTTAAAAAAAAAAAGCAAGAGTAACGTCAGTTCATAAAGGAGGCGAAACAGCTGACATAAACAATTATACACCAATATCAAATCTACCCATATTATCAAAAAATATTTGAAAAAATTATTTACAAACAGCTCTAGTTCTACTCTGTAAAACTCAAAATATTAAGTCCCTGCCAGTTTGACTTCCGTTCCCAAAAGAGTACCAATGATGCCATTATTAGTGTGCTTAATATAATCTGCACAGCCCTTGACTGTGAGTTCCCAATTGGCCTCTTCATTGACCTGAGAAAGGCCATTGGTACTATAAACCACAACTACCTCTTAAACTTCACTACTATGGTATCCAAGACCTTGCTCTGAACTATATACGTTCCTATCTCAGTAACAGACACTAATATGTAGCCATCAATAACATAACCTTCCCCACTCTATCATTAATCGTAGGAGTACCACAGGGCAGCATCTTGGGACGTCCTCTATTTCTTAAATACATCAGTGATTTGCCAATGTCTCTAACATTCTTAAACCTACACTATTTGCTGATGATACTACCTTCATCAGTTCTGACCCCAACTCCCCACTCACTAAATAATATTGTCAATAATGAATAAAAAAAAAGTTCACTCAAGGATGTCAACCAACAAACTAACACTAAACATAAAATTCCTACTACATTTTATTTGGAAGTAAATCATAAAATCAAATTCAACTTCACGTAGACAATGCTAACATTAGCAATAAAAATACGTACGTACTGAATATGCATCAGCATATTCAATACGTACTACTTGCTTGGTCAGGTTAAACTGGCCATGGAATGGTGCCCAACCACTTGGACGGTCGGGGATTGAACGCCGACCTGCATGAAGCAAGACCGTTGCTCAATCGTCCAGCCCAAAAACAAAGTCGACTCTTATTCCAAAGACGGTTGAGGGCCACTTTACGACAAAACACTACTAACCAGACATGACAGGACTAATCTCATAGAAACTTTTAGAATACTGAACAGTTTGGAGAATATTAATCACGACAACTTCAAAAGATCTAACACATACAACAGAAACAGCTTCAAGCTCAACAAGGTTCTTTTAGTTACTTTTAGTATGCTTTGGGGAGTCCAACAGTCCCTTTTTATGCCCTTTACCAAATAGTTGCTATAAATACTATCACTTTAAAGGGTTTGGGTTGGAATCCTGTCTCGGAATCCCAGCAGGTACAGAAAGGGAGAGTTATCCCAATAATCCCTTTTAAACAAGTGAAGAGAAAAAACGGAGAATGTCTCGGGGAGACTATAATCGCATTTTAGTTTGTCTGCGCGTCTCCTATATCAGTTACTTGGTCATTGTTTAATGTAGAGTTATCCGCAGCAGAACGAATTTACTTGAGTGTAGTTTTGTGACATAAGGAGCGTCGTTTGTCTAATGTCTCATAGTTGACTTCGTTCATAATCGGGCCGAAATCACGGGTTCGATTCTTGGGAGACACAGAAATTCAAATTCAAATTCAGGTAAAAGTACATACATAGATGAAGAGTTACAAACATAATGTTGGATTTATAAATAGAGCTAGTACATACAATACCTAAAGCCACTAATACGCATAGCGTTTCGGGCAATGTTTTCGGATCCAGAAAAATGTCTGGGAACGTTTCTTTTCACCTAATAGCTCTGTTCACCTAGTAGTAAATAGGTACCAAGGAGTTGGGCAACGGTTTTCGACAATAGATTGGACTGATTTATTTCCGAATCAGTCCAATCGGACTGATTCGGATGAACATGTGGGTGGAGGTAAGATGAACATGTGGGTGGAGGTAAGATGAACATGTGGGTGGAGGTAAGATGAACATGTGGGTGGAGGTAAGATGAAAATGTGGGTGGAGGTAAGATGAACATGTGGGTGGAGGTAAGATGAACATGTGGGTGGAGGTAAGATGAACATGTGGGTGGAGGTAAGATGAACATGTGGGTGGAGGTAAGACGAACATGTGGGTGGAGGTAAGAGGAAAATGTGGGTGGAGGCAAGATGACCATGTGGGTGGAGGTAAGATGAACATGTGGGTGGAGGTAAGATGAACATGTGGGTGGAGGTAAGATGAACATGTGGGTGGAGGTAAGATGAACATGTGGAGGTAAGATGAACATGTGGGTGGAGGTAAGAGGAACATGTGGGCGGAGGTATGATGAACATGTGGGTGCAGGTAAGAGGAACATGTGGGTGGAGGTAAGATGAACATGTGGGTGGAGGTAAGAGGAACATGTGGGTGGAGGTAAGAGGAACATGTGCGTGGAGGTAAGATGAACATGTGAGTGGAGGTAAGAGGAACATGTGGGCGGAGGTAAGATGAGCATGTGGGTGGAGGTAAGAGGAACATGTGGGTGGAGGCAAGATGAACAAGTGGGTGGAGGTAAGATGAACATGTGGGTGGAGGTAAGATGAACATGTGGGTGGGGGTAAGAGGAACATGTGGGTGGAGGTAAGATGAATATGTGGGTGGAAGTAAGAGGAACATGTGGGTGGAGGTAAGATGAACATGTGGGTGGAGGTAAGAGGAACATGTAGGTGGAGGTAAGATGAACATGTGGGTGGAGGTAAACTGAACATGTGGGTGCAGGTAAGAGGAACATGTGGGTGGAGGTAAGATGAAGATGTGGGTGGAGATAAAATGAACATGTGGGTGGAGGCAAGATGAACATGTGGGTGGAGGTAAGATGAACATGTGGGTGGAGGTAAGATGAACATGTGGGTGGGGGTAAGATGAACATGTGGGTGGGGATAAGAGGAACATGTGGGTGGAGGTAAGATGAATATGTGGGTGGAAGTAAGAGGAACATGTGGGTGGAGGTAAGATGAACATGTGGGTGGAGGTAAGATGAACATGTGGGTGGAGGTAAGATGAACATGTGGGTGGAGGTAAGATGAACATGTGGGTGGAGGTAAGAGGAACATGTGGGTGGAGGTAAGATGAACATGTGGGTGGAGGTAAGATGAACATGGGGGTGGAGTTAAAAAGAACATGTGGGTGGAGGTGAGATGAACATGTGGGTGGAGGTAAGATGAACATGTGGGTGGAGGTAAGATGAACATGTGGGTGGAGGTGTTACGGACCCGAGTCCAGCGTCGGAGCACGGAGCAGTGACGACAACGCCATCTGTGAGTCCGCTCCCGAAACCCACTCCAAATGGACAACGCCATCTAGTGAGGACGGGATATACCGGCCACAGGTGCTGGATTTCCATCTTAATTAGCTCATAACATAGCTGCTGCTGACCTCTGGTGAGGTGGCGCTTAGACAGCAACGCCATCTATGGAGTGGAGAGGTGGACGTTTGTGTCTAAGCCTGTAAGTGAGATTCCCTAGAGCGTCCCAGTATTAATGACGTATTTGATTGCAGAGTCGACCTGGGACTGCTGTATTGGACGATGGATCAGTCTACCCAAGGCAGCCAAGGTCTCTTCACTAGTCTGCTGAAGAAGCTGTGAGTCACCCCTGGACGAACTCTGTTGAGAGTGTAATAGCCTGCCTGTGGCGTGGCAGTGTCGGGAATCGCCTTATCCGGGGCTGGCTGGTGGAAGAGACTAGCCACTGTGGTGCTTAGTAAGGAGAGTGATCAGCGGGATCGCACGAGGCTCCTGCCTAGGGCTCGCAACCCTA